TGAGTTTTAAGAAAACTCAGCTAACAGTATACTCTACTGAATTGAAAATAAGGTGGGGAAAAGAGGGAAGAATTTAAATATCGGTAAATATTGATCGAAATATCAAACCAAATGTAGTAATAAATTGATAACTTCTTGAGGAAAAAGTCAAATCAATACATAAGGAATACAATTTTAGATCATTAGCTATAACAATGCTCAGAGAGGGCGCTAAATATTCATTAAACTTATGTATTTTATTCTTTATTATCATAAACGACAACAACAAAAAAGCAATGTATAAAATTATAAACCAAAACCAAATTATGCGTTTTACTTTTACGTATCCATATAGCAAATTTAAGTTGAATGTGTGCAACTGTTGGGGAAATAATGCACAGAAACTGAACATACATGGGTATGTCATAAGCAAATGCAGGTCAATTCGAATTTGGTTATAATTCGATTATTTTTGACAGAGTTATGGCCCTTTAACTGTGATTCAAACTTGCCCTGCGTATACCTATGGCATGTACATATCCTTAATTTGAGTTGAATGTGTACAACTGTTGAGGAGATAATGAACGGAAACTGTTTTTTTTTCAAAGTTAAGTTAATGACTGGGTAACACTAAATACCTCGCCATTTGATGGCGGGTAGCATAAAAAATAACTATATTGATTTGAACCCATCGAACGAGGAAATCTTAAGGCGTAAACAGTATCAAAATAAACAATAAAACACGTTTTGATTGTATTGTATATTGTTTGTTGAGTCCGATTTATATTTTAAGATTTTTTTTAAACCGAATCGTTTTCGAACTGAACAGGGACATATTTGCATGGTACACTTTGTATGCGTGGGACCGCAAGCGTCTCATACTAATGACATATTATTATGCTTTCTTAGTACAAGGGAACAACGAATTATCATTTTATTGAGGCTAAAGCTTTTAAAACAAGATGCGGTCAAAGCACAGTTAAGCTCTAACGAACATCTTCCCTAGATAAATAAACAACTGAAAATACCATTTGTATAAGGAGAATGTTATAACATCCCATGGCTGTCATTAAGTTAAGTCCCTTATCCCCTGCATGGTCTATAAATCACAGCAAACTGTTAGATTAGGATTGAGTAAGTAAACATGACTGACCTATATAAATGTTAAGTGGGAAACAATCTTCAGTTTGGGCATAAGAAATCTTCAAGTATTATTATTTTTATTACATTATAACCCTTACATTGAATATTTTTTATATTCTGACATGCCCAGGCAATTGTCAATTTACCTTTGGAAATATATCCTGAATAAAACTGATTTACTTTTAGATTTCAGGAGCAATGCAGTTTTGATATCATAATAAAGTTTCTGAGATAAGTCTATAAGCAAGTTCATTGTTTTTGTTTTAAGCAACGTTTAAGTTAGCTACACACACTTTTTTATTTAATTAAATTTATTTAGCAAAAGTTATTAAAAGATATGTGCAACAAACATAAATTCAGAATAAGAAACAAACAAAATCTACAAAAAAAACCTTCTTTCCCTTCCAATTCCGCTCCGGGGGGGGGGAGACTTTTATCAGCGACACGTCATTGACTAGATTTTGTCACAGACATGACGAATTCCGGTAAGGGCCGTTTTATGAAAGTTTGTCGTAGCTTAAGACGTAGAAGAAAATGTCGCAGCTCTCTGTGACAAGGTTAGTGTTGTCGTATGTCATTTCTGTGACACATGTAACTAAAACATTCAATTTTGAACTCTCAATTGTAGTTTATCCTATGAAGAAGTTGGTGTATTTACTTGTGAAGTTTATAGTTATTATAAGCACTCGCCATACATATATCTATGTTATTATCTTGTATATACATGTATGTATTCATTGCATGTTAAAAAGACAATGCACATGTGTATAAGTCTAGAAAATAAATGTTTTGTTCTGTTCCTAAAATCTAATGTTTTTGTTATTTAATTTTAGTTATTTAATTAAATACAGGTAATACAAAAAAATGTATTTGATAAGTCTGCAAAACCTGCATGATGTATTAATTATGCATTTCAATTTTTTGTAGACTTAAGACTTAAAAAAACAATTCTAGTATCAGAACTACGTAATTTGCAATGTCGTGGATTGGGGATTATTCAGTACACTTCATGAAATAAACATGTATGTATATATACCTATAAACAATTTATTTGATTACCGGAATAAAACATCAAAATCTAAAGTGAAAGATTCAATATAAGTTACAAATTGGAACATAATAAAAGACAGCGTGTTCTGGTTTAATAACAAAGAAGCGCGTGTTTGTTACAATCTTCAAGTTGATATAACTTCGTCAAACAGCAATTCATTTTTGATACAATAGAGAAAAACAGAATCCCTAAAGAAAGCCCAACACGGCAAAATTGAAAATGTTGCAGGCTCGGTTTGATTGAGCCTGTTCAAACCCTTGACATGTTATAGATATGATTTAGCATCACTTTATGACACTCACTCATGTTTCATGTTATCAGTATTTTCATGCTTTTTCCTTACAATGTAACAAATAACATTTTCATAACAGAATTGCATTTTGTACAGACTGTGTGGGAATGTATTTCTTTGCAAAATTCTGTTTTCAAATTTTTTTTATAATGCGACAAGACACATGGTTAGTTGGTTTACCTTGATACGAGGGGTGATCCAGAAATACACGACATTGAGCCATTAATTCAATAATAAAGTTCATTAAACAAATGTTATTAATGTGTACTGTATACTCTTTACAAGGATACAGAAATTATAACAATTAAATACATTGTATATGTATATCTCAGCTAAAAGTAATGCGCGTACGGCACAGTTTGAACGTTCGAACGGTGTAACAACGTCACAAGCCGTGACTTAAAAACATCCTAAATACCATTCAAAGTACTTGCCGCTGAATGTAATATAACTTCCGATACCTTAACAATATGTTCTGTGCAAACTACCTTTTCCCTGTTGATAGGTATGTTAATAAATCCGTGTTTGTTATTGCTGTTTTGTGTTGTTTTTTTTTACAGTAAATAAACACAAACATTGTTAAGTAGCACTTTGTAACGATTTACACGATGTAATTCAATGTCAACTTATTTGGACCAATTAGTGTAAGACTGAAATAGGAATGAATGTCAATACACATTCAACCGTCTATAGTCTATTTTTAGATTCATGCTATTTTCGCACCTGTACGAATTTACGACTTCGCTTACCGGAATTATTCTTGTATCATATATGATAAACAAGATCAACAAGGAAAGGCGGCGTTCAGTGAACGCAACCCCAACACGACCCAGCAACAAGAATCAACGGAAAGGAGCCAAAGAGGACCCCACACAAAAACAGGGCAGGGCGCAAGGCGTTGCACGGACAATGCTACTTAAAAAGAAATAATAGTTACCGTCAAGGAAATTATAGAATACAAGTAATTGATTGATAAATGGGCACAAAAGTAAAGGGCAAGGGGAAGGGTATTCGAGATTCAGGGAAGGAAGAGGCAAGATTTTTTTTCTTAAAAAATGATGAAGATAATGATGTATACTGAAAACTAGTCTTATTTACAAAATTACAAATCAACTGATCACTTCCAATCATTTTTACTGTGTAAAATGAGCTAAAATTGCAAAATATTTAAACATTTTTAATAGAAAAAATATGGTAAGACTCACATCAAATATTGATTTCCAATTTAGTTGTGAGTCCATTGTAATGTTTTTGTTGTACATTTTTTAATTTAAGTGTTCCAGTTAATCTTTGTTATGATTTTTAAAAGAAATGATTGCTATAATTTGGCTTGGTTTTATGAAACAGTGTTATAAACATTTTTCTTGTAAAATTGTATGTGTCATATGTGACTTTGGACTAATTTCTTTGTTATCATAATTATGTATTCTACATTGTAATAATATTGTTTACAAGAGCACATGTATAAATAGTCACACATATGTTCCGTTATGTTTTGTTTTATGTTAAAATGAATATGTTTAGGTGTTTGCAATACTGTCATATTGTAAAAGTGTGTCTCAAGCTATGTATCTGCTGCACAAAATATTGCTTGAATGTAAAAACAAAAGAAATTTTCCATTTTTATATAAAATAAATATAGTAGTGCTAAATTGCGCATGCACGAAATCATTGCTTAACAAATGGAACCCTACATGAAATAGCAGAAAAATATTTTGTTTATAAACATTTATTGTCTTTACGTATAATATCCATGTGTGTTAAACAATAGAAACATCCTGTGTTACAACTCTTTTGATAATCGACCTTAAGATAACGAACGCAATATGAATTTACTGTTAATACATTGTATAAAAACACTCCGTAAGCTATAGTTTTATAGAAGAAAATTTACGACACAGACAAATGATTTGCAACTTCAATATCTAATATATAAGTAATAAAATAATGACCAGACTGTCTTAGGATTAGATAATAACTTAACATTTTTAGATGAATTTCATTGGAAAAAGTGCTAAATTTATGATAATTATTTAAAAAAATTAGACTTTAAACTGTGACTTAACTGGCTTAATATAAATAATAGAGATTTACAGCTTGTACGGATAGCGATAGCCGGAGACGAACAACGGTTATAGTAACCGGGGGTTATCTCAAAATATTTATCATTCAATCAAATACAGTAAATGCTATAATCTTTTTTTATGGCAAGTAAGATAAGTACAAATATATACAATTGTTTATTTATTCATACACTAGAAATTGGCCTGTAACGTTTAAGTGTTCAAGACATACACAATAATTTACTACAGGCACTTTCTATGTTTAGGCCCTTATTTACGGCGTATTTGAGCTGACATGTATGGTGTCATAATATGGGCATAAGTAGGATAAATTTTATCGACAAGTTTAACGCACTCTCATTAGTGCCGATTTGAGGTAACAGTAATACTGCTGGGCATCGTTATAGTGACCAGGAAACCCACTTCGTATATATCTTATATTCGATGTCCCGAATAAAACTATTCTTGTGTTTCATTCAAGCATAGGGCTACTGATTCCATAAGAAGTTCCATCAATTGCTATCACGGCTATTGAAATTCTGTTCCAGGTGCCTCTCATGGCTAACCACTCATGAACCTGTAGCAACGACAAAAAATTAGACGTAAATAAAAAATCGGGATTGTCACACTTGGCACTGATATGTTGAACAATGACAAAAGCATCATAAACTTCTGATATGTTCGAAACCACATAAGCACAAGAAGAGCTATGTTTCTTGAAAGAAGTTTAAGAGCTAGGCTTGTATGATGAAATACGAATACTTTCTAACAGATCTAAAAAAAAAAGGTCTCAGCAGTTCCCCCGGTCACTTGAAAGAGATAAAAGAAAACACATTTCTGCCACTTAAAATGTCTTTAACGGTTCCAAAAAAATATATAACTTATATTTAGTATCGGGTAAGGCGGTGCTCGAATGAGTTCTAAGATCATGCAAATAAGTCCAAAGTAATTGGTGATGTCGGGGGAGTCTTAGCCAAAGCCGGTAAAATGTTACTCATTGCTTTGATTGGTTCATTGTCCATTGTGACATAAGACACATGTATGCCTGGAATGTTTAGTATTCATTTTGATGTGACATAAAAAATTGTGTTAAAATAAGTTTAGCCATACTTCATAAACTACTATTATCTTATTGCACAATTTATTATTCATATAAAGGGAAATTTCCTCACGGAGTTCACATGGGCAATGTAACACTAATGTTTGTCGACATGTAAAATGGAAGGTGAAAAAAAGACACAACAAAACATTAGATCTGTAACTTTCACAATATAATTCATATTCTGCTTCTCTTATCGGTTTACCCTTTTGCTTTTTGTTATCTCGTTACATACAAATATGCGCATTAAACGTCTATTAATATCATGCTTTTTAGTTTCGGTTATCTTGTACAGGAGTGAAATTAGATGGTATTGCGCACCATTTTTAGAATGCTGGGATCGACACGAGAGAGAATACGAGGCCAGTCAAGTAGCAGGTCAGTCACATCAGGATAATTAACCAGGAACAGCTGATTAAAGGGGGAAAACATTGCTAATGGACTTTCATCATCACAAGAAGAAGACCTTACTCCCCCACGTACACAGCAACGGAGAAGAACGAGGCCGCTGGCTGACATTATTTGGGAAACTCATTTATTTTACAACGATTTTATTAAAAACAAAGTTCCAAGATTGCTTCACCAGCTTGATGTCGAGAAATCTTCTGATGAATCAAATTAGATATTCAGAAAACACATATGAACGGCTTTTTGTAATAGAAATAAATGCAATTATTTTATTTGGCTTGGCCTTTTGTTTTCTTTAAAAAAAGAAATCATTTTGAAACGCCCCCTTAAAAAGTTAGCCGTCTCCGTCTTCGTCTATCGGTATCGGCTCAAGCTAAAAATCTCTAATTTTACAGGACGTGGATCAGAAAAGGCAGAGTATAGATAATAGCTTTCACACCTTAAAGAAGGTTCTTTATCCTGTAATCACTTAATGGTATAATTTGTGCATATACTGTTTAATCCAAATTTTCACCCACTTGATTTGTAATCACAGTTTAAATTCGTGTTTATACATCATGACTAAGTACAGTTAACCCATTTGTGCCGGAATTTTATTTTTATATAAGAAATGTATAAAACATATAGTAACCATATAGTTATAACATATATCCGTTTATTTTTCAAATATAAGTACTGTATTTTTTATTTTAGTGTTTTAATATTTTGTCTACAAAAGTAGACAACAGGCGCAAATGGGTATATGTAAAACACATATAGAATATATGTCCAGATAACCTATTGTTGGTTTATTTGATAACTTTTACTTGAAAAAATCCTTAAAGTTTATACAGGCAATGTTTTCTATTACTTTTCCTACAAAAGTAGACATTAGGCACAGAAGTGTTCACTCTGAAATTCATTCTGAATATGAATTATTATTGTTCATGTCTTTTGGCTTTGATCGTATGAATACCTAAACACTGTGAAACATTTCAAAGCATTTCCTGTGCACTCCAACATTACATTTGGAACATTGTGTCCTGCATTTTTTTCCACACAATGAACAGCGCACTTCTTTTGCTGGCTCTGCGTAATGATTTTTACCATCAAGTCGGATATGGTCTGGAATTCTTCTTGACAATGGCCTCATCCTACCTCTTGTCTGCCAGGGCTGACAGCAGGTGTACGCCCCTGAGCAAGCAGCACAGTAACCAGAGCTCGTCTGACACCTAACAGATCTAATGGTTGCCTCAATCCTGCATCAGTAGCACGGTAAATGTGCCAGGTTTGCTGCACCGCAAGGTCAATGCAATACATAAACACTGGCCACCACCACTTCTTGGATCTGATAGAGATACGATACTTCTCAACATTTTGATCCATCCTGTCCACACCTCCCATTGTCTGGTTGTAATGCTTTATAAGGTATGGCTGCGGAAGGCGCACCCTAGCTTTTGCCTGCTTTGACCACCATGTTGCTTGTTGCAATGGTTCAACTCCATGGCAATTTGAACACCACATTCACTATATTGTTGTCATTCCACCTCACCACTATCAGACCTTTGTGTGCGTCATACCTTTTATCATAGTTTCCTCGTTGCGTTTTTCCCATGTCTTTCACATTTTTGACAGGACAATCTTCTATTCGGTTGGCACGGGATGGTTCCTGTGCAAAATATTCCCATATCTGTAAGCCGGTCCACGAGCTTCAGGGAAGTAAATAGATTATCAAAAGTCAGATGGTATGCATCATCTTTCTGCAGCTCTGAAAGCAGGTCCATAACTACTGCTCCGCCCATTCCTAGGAAGCCAGGATCATGGGTTTGGTGGCCTTTTGCCCCTTGATAGGGCTCAAATTGTAAAACATATCCAAGTGCTGTCGTTAACGCCCACATCTTATAACCGAACCTAATTGGGTTTCCCACGAATAAACTGTTTCGCTCCGTGTCGCCCATAGTACGGGATCATGCTTTCGTCGATTGAAAGGTTTTTTCTCTTTCAAGAAGTATAACAAGAAGCGCTCATTCAGCAGACATAAGCAGTGGTCTTACTTTGCTAAACTTGTCCTCTCTGTCAAGATTGTTGTTATCGCAAAGATGTACATATCGCACCAATAAGTCGAATCTGTCTCGCGGCATTGTACGAGCTATTGCCTCATTCCTTACGTCATCATCCCGGCTCCAGAACTGTCTCCGTCTTGGCACAGTGTTATAGCCTGATATAAGCAGAATTGCTAGGAAGATCCTAATTTCTTGGGGTGAAGTTGAAAACGAATGGTTGCCTTTTGAACCAGCATATCTTATACTCTGTTCAACAATCATCTTGATCACGTCATCATCAAAAATAAGTTGAAGATGCCATCTGGTGTTTGCGGCCATCGACTTTTTGTCTATATTTGAGCCATGCCAAGTGAATCTGTCTTTTATCTTGCTCAGGTAGATCTTTATTTTCCCACTTCCCTCTTTACTGGTGCAGGTCGTTTGGGACGCGGAGCTGGATCCCGTAGTGCAATTCTTACTTGAGGTCTTTTTGCAATATTTGCAGGCACTTCGTATTCATCTGTATCAGAAGAATCTGAAGAATGGTCAGTTTCCTGAAAAATAAAATATGATAAATATAAAAATCTTATTCTCAACTGGATTTACTGTACATTATTTACTTACTTGCTTCGTATTTATTTATTTATCTATTTATTATTTATTTATTTTATTAATCTATTTTATTTATTTTATTACTAACTAGATCGGAGTCTGATGCTGAATCAACAACATGACGTCCATCTAGGCGAATAACTGTCGCTGTTGCTTGTTGGTCTAACTGACGTCCACTGAGGTTGTTGTAACCTACTTCTTCATCTTCACTTGCACTATCTTCATCTGTCAGTTCATCTACAGGAGGTGGTTGAACATGTAATTCTGCCCTTTCAAAGTTACCTTCATCCTCAAGCATTGATATGATTTCATTTACTGTGTATCTTCTGTAAACAACAAAATATTTTCATAATGATAAAAACGTACCCATTTGATCCCTATTGTCTACTTTTGTAGACAAAATCTAAATTGACTGTCATAACACATTTTATACATATTTCTGAATTATAAAACAGGAATTGGGCAGAAATATAAATTATACAATATAAAACAATCATACTTTAATGATATAAAATAAAAACAATATAAAGTTTTACATACTGTTTCTGCTAGCCATTTTCAATAATATTTTCAAGGCAATTTTTATCAACATTCTTGTTGAAAACACACTGCAAATAACGTAGTGGTCTGCATTTTGTCTAGCAAAATAGTCCAATTAACGCTTATCATGACAACAAGTATAGAATAACAATGATAAACAAATGTGCGCTCATAATTAGGTCCTAGTGTACTGATAACTGCTAGTGTCTACAAAAGTAGACAACAGGCGCAAATGGGTTAAATTCAGCAGTAGTGTATGCAAATTGAACTTAAATTGTCAACAACATGGAAAATCTTGGAAATATATGATACTCCCAAATCCTCAATACAATGTAAGTTCCATTTTTTATATTATATGATTTTACAGTAATGTTAAATATAAATAAAAATGTAAATATTTTGAAAACTAGTCTTGAAATAGAATATTCAATACTCGAAATACTTTAAATGTAATTTTACTGTAATTGATTGACTTTGCTGAGTAACTGTGATTTCAACTTTATTTTACTTTTTTGTGACTTTAATGTTACTTTACTTATTTAGCTCTTATTGTTACTCTAACAATGATAATAAAATTGTTTTGAATCAGTTACTAAGTAGTACTCTTATTTTACTTTTTCTGCTTCTTTACTTTCTTGTTTTGTTATCAATGCTTTACTGTTACCATAACTCCTGTTATTTCTTAGTTAAAATTACTAAAAACTGTTATTGTTTCCTAACGTTACATCTTTCTATTCTTTTATTGTTCCTGTTTATTGTTACTTTACAGTTATAGTTACTTAAGTTACTTAACTATTACTGTTGTGTTATTGTTTCTGTTACTATACTGTTATAGTTTCTTAAATGTTACCGTTCTGTTATTGTTTCTGTTACTTATATGTGTACTGTTATATTTACTTTACTGTTACTGTTTATTTGTGTTCCTGTCACTATACTGTTATAATTTTTGTTACTGTTCTGTAAGTGTTCATGCTTACAAGTGTTATAGTTATTTTAATTCTCTGTTATTGTTCCTGTACTGTTTTAGTTATTTACTGTTACTGTTCTGTTATAGTTCTTGTTAACATCTGTTGTTTCTGTTACTGGTCTGTTGTTGTTCTTGTTACTGTTCTGTTACTGTTATAGTTACTTTACTGTTACAGTTCATTAATGTTCTTGTTACTTATCTGTTTACTGTTAAAAGGAATGAACTGTTTCTGTTCTGTTATATTTTTGTTATTGTTTTGTTTACTCCTATACTGTTCTGTTATAGTTCTTGTTAACATCTGTTGTTTCTGTTATTGTTCTGTTATTGTTCTTGTTACTGTTCTGTTGACTGTTATAGTTACTTTACTGTTACGGTTCATTATTGTTCTTGTTACTTATCTGTTTACTGTTAAAAGGAATGAACTGTTTCTGTTATTTTTTGTTATTGTTCTGTTAACGGTTTTAGTTTTATTACTCTTGTTCTGTTACTGTTATAGTTACTTTACTGTTACTGTTCATCATTGTTCTTGTTACTGTTCTGTTGACTGTTAAAGTTAATGTACTGTTAATGTTCGTTATTGTTCTTGTTAATGGTCTGTTACTGTTATAGTTACTTTACTGTTACGATTTATCATTGTTCTTGTTACTGTTCTGTTTCCTGTTATAGTTAATTTACTGTATCTGTTCGTTATTGTTTTTGTTACTTATCTGTTGACTGTTATAGTTACTTTACTGTTTTTGCTTTGTTATTGTGTTTGTTACTTTTCTGTTAACTGTTATAGTTACTTTACTGTTACGGTTTATTATTGTTCTTGTTACTAATCTGTTGACTGTTATAACTACTTCACTGATTCTGTTCTGTTATTTTTTGCTACTGTTCTGTTTACTGTTATAGTTTTATAACTGTTACTGTTCTCTTATTGTTCATGTTACTGTTCTGTTGACTGTTATAGTTACTTTACTGTTACTGTTCATCATTGTTCTTGTTACCGTTCTGTTTCCTGTTAAATTTTTTCCTTACTGTTACTGTTGTTATTATTATTGTTACTGTTCTGTTGTCTGTAATAGTTAATTTATTGTTACTGTTTATCATTGTTCTTGTTATTAATCTGTTACTGTTATAGTTACTTTATTGTTACTGTTCGTTCTTGTTCTTGTTACTGTTCTGTTTCCTGTTATAGTTAATTTACTGTTACTGTTTGTTATTATTCTTGCTACTAATCTGTTGATTGTTATAGTTACTTAACTGTTTTTGTTTTTATGGTGTTTGTAATTGTTTTGTTAACTGTCATAGTTATTTGTTATGTTACTGTTCATTTTTGTTCTTGTTACTGTTCTGTTTGTTTAATGGTTGCTGTACTGTTACCGTTTTATTTTACTTTTCTGCTACTGTTCTTGTTACTCCTCTGTTTCCTGTTATAGTTAATTTTCTGTTACGGTTCATTATTGTTCCTGTTACTAATCTGTTGACTGTTATAACTACTTTACTGGTTCTATTCTGTTATTTATTTGTTACTGTTCTGTTTATTGTTATACTTTTATTACTGTTTCTGTTCTATTATTGTTCTTGTTACTGTTCTGTTGACCGTTATAATTACTTTACTTTTACTTTTTATTATTGATCTTGTTATTGTTCTGTTACTTTTATAGTTGCTTTACTGTAACTGTTTATTTTTAGTTCGACTATTCGATAAGAATAAGTAGAGCTATTGTAGTCACCCGAGCGTCGGCGTCGGTGTCAGCGTCGGCGTCGGCATAACCACTTAGTTCAAATATTTTCAAAGTCCATTGACATATGGCTTTGAAACTTTGCACACTTGTTCACCATCATGACCCCAACCTGTAGACAGGAGGAGGTAACTCTATCAAACATTTTGACAGAATTATGCCCCTTTTTCGACTTAGAATTTACGTTAAAGTTTTTGTAATAGTTCAAATATTTTCAAAGCTCATTGACAGTATGGCTTTGAAACTTTGCACACTTGTTAACCATCATGACCCCAACCTGTAGACAGGAGGAGGGAACTGTATCAAGCATTTTGACAGAATTATGCCCCTTTTTCGACTTAGAATTTACGTTAAAGTTTCTGTAATACCTCAAATATTTTCAAAGTCCATTGATATATGGCCTTGAAACTTTGCACACTTGTTTACCATCATGACCCCAACCTGTAAACAGGAGGAGGTAACTCTATCAAGCACTTTGACAGAATTATGCCCCTTTTTGACTTAGAATTTACCTTAAAGTTTCTGTAATACCTCAAATATTTTCAAAGTCCATTGACATATGGCTTTGAAACTTTGCACACTTGTTCACCATCATCACCCCAACCTGTAAACTGGAGGAGGTAACTCTATCAAGCA